TGGTGGTATGTTAGCGAGGATAGAACAACAGAGTTATTTTGGTTTCTACCAGGTCGCTAAATTTTCTTTCTTATCCTTCCCTGCTTTCCCTCCACCATTTTATTTGTATTCTTCCGCAGACGATTGAGACCTCAAACTGCGCTCACAATCCTCGACTTTCTTGACTCATCAGTGTCACTGTTGATCCGCGCTCTTATAGACCTCCATCTTTCCGGGAAATCTGAATGGGGACCAGGCCAGGGATTTCTTTCACATTCTCACTGCCAATGATAAAATCAATTTTCCACTATCGATGCGGCTCCAAGAATAAGGCTGATAAACGATACCGATTGAGGCTCGTGAAATTGAAGTCGCCCATCAAATTACAATTATTATCAGAAGTAGAATGATCCCCAATACACATAATCAGCTGTTCATTACAATCAGAGGTACATGCGGGTGAGCGATAGTCAACAATGGGTCGACGTAGCCCTTCATTTATATACAGATCACACGCCAGGATTCCGTAAGCTTTTGGTACTCAAAAGGTAAGTGCTGGAAATAGATACCGCTTAACAAGAAGCGCTACTCTCCCTCCTCTGAATCTGGGTCTATCACATCGAAATGCCTCATAAAGTGAGCAAATGTCTCCCAATGATGGTTCAAGCATACTTCGCGGCTTCAACCAGGTCTCGCTTAAAGCAAAAATGTCACTGTCGAGCGTAGATGTCAATTAGGCAAGGCTATGATCGTTGTTTGTCAAAGACCGTATATTCTTTAAGAAACATTGAATTCCTTTATTAACACTACCTGCGATCCGCGGAGCTCCCAGAGGTTTTCCGATGCAATAGGAGCTTTGGATGAGACAGGGCTAACGCAATGCTTACTAGTGTCAGAAATATTAATCAACTGAGGAGGTACTTGGTCACTATCAGAAAGATTTTGAGATTGTACTTTGTCAGATTTAAGCAGAGAGGAATTGCGGCGTGCCAAACGCTCAGTACGAGCTCTATTCTCTTGCTTCCTGCTAAGGGATGGCCTTATGAATATCTTTGGAATACCGAAGCACCGAAGTTTGGGTGCACGGCGTAACACCTGGCTCACAAAAAACGACGATGGCAAAATAGCTTTCAATGGTATAGGGAAAAAACGGTTAACACGACCCATGCGCTAATTTGACATGGGTGAGCACTCGATATCAAGGAAATCAAAGATACGCTTCAACAAGTTAACATCGTTCACTAACCTATCACTTGGCAAAGTGCCAGAGCTCTCGGGTAGTCCATTTACCACAATAGATCGCTTACGTTCAATTTCCTGAGGAGTCAGGGACGGAGGGTCAAGCGATTTAGCAACAGGCACAGAAACGTCACGAGAGTCGGATGAGGTAATATCAGAACGACCAGAAATAGCGGCACTCAACTCAGCAATTTGTGCCTTGAGAGACGCTACTTCCTCAACAAACTCACGATTGCGACATAATACAGAAGTAAGGGAGAAGGTCCGTTGCGCGTGTCCGTCGAAAGTAGGTCACCCCGCCCACCTCGCGCGCGGCGCATCACACTGAGGTCTCGAGATGACATTACAGTACCACCAAGTGTCATTGAAGCAAATGATTTGTCTGTGTTATCTTCTTCTTGAACTGACTGCCGTGGACCAAACGCAAAGCGTATGCCCCAGTGACAATTGCGACGTCTGTCAAATATCGCGGCCGACTCGCCGCGTGCGACGGCTGCGGCGTGACCCAGTTTCGACGGACACGCGCAAACGAAGCGCACCCCAGAAGTAAGATACTTGCGATCTTCCAGGAAAACGGACAAAACAGATCGCAAGTGCTCCGGTAGACTTTGATCTCGGCGAAGCATAGCCACATCCTGGTCAAATTTTTTTCCGCGGCAATGCAGAAGGCGGTGGATCAATATCGATACATGATGGCTTCAATGGCTTTCCTGAACACGGAATGACGACAACGGAGTGTCCATTGGGATGTAAGAGAAGAAATGAAGAAATGAAGAAATGATAACATGTAAGAAATGAAGTATGCACCTTAGTTGGTGAATTGGTGACTTGCACTCCCTTCAGGGATCACACCTCTCCACAATGATGCTAGATTGCACTCAATAGGAAAACGTCGGGCAATAGAAAAGCGCCTTAACAGCAGAGGAATAGAATTAGCTGATCGCGCTGTTGCACGAGTAGAAAGCAGTATCAGTGAATATAGGCTTCAAACGACTCGAATGAAAATAGTGTGCCAAGACGTGGGAATCGGTGACAGGCAGAGGAGAAATCCAAGAGAGATTGTATGTCTACGAAATGTCCTTAGCATAGGTAAGGGTGGTCATACAAAAGTCCACTGCTAACATAAAATCTTCCAGCTGAATTCCAATTACGTCTTCAGGACATAATCTGATCTTGATATAGGCGAAAGATATGACTTTCGTTATTTTAAGAGGGATTGCCCTCTGAAGATCTCTATCAGATACAGAACTTTCGTGAAGAAGTTTAATCATTCTAAAGGCGTCCCGAGGAATACGATGACTGGCAACTTTTGCTTGGATGAGATTAATCACCTTGCGTTATTTATTGGCGCATAACGCCTTACTGCATCTATAATATTAGATCGATGCGTATATCTTTCCCTCGACTTTGTAACTATCTCAATAACAAGGAGCCTGAAGATTAGAGGAGTGCATCATCACGACCCAATATGCAAACGCCCTTCCAGCTTGCCGATTCCATCCTCCCAGAAGGACGAGGGTTTTTCAAAACATGTTCTTACCTTTACATTCGCAGTATACCTCAGCTATCATATCTGCTTTGCTGTGCATACATCATCGGTTTCTGGAAAATGGTGAAGTCTCGTCCTCATCGAATTGTCATCCTCGTGATTCTGGCGAACCGATTTCTAAGATCGTTGGTCGTTTCAATCTTTCTCGCACGACCGTCTATCGAATTGCGAAGCATGGACTAGTCAATGGTAAGCCTCGGTCCGGTCGGCCCGTCTCAATTACGACACCTCGGTTGAGGAAAATTATCAAGGAAGTCTGCGTCGTGAACCCTACAGAAACATGAGAGAAATGACTGCCGAATTGGGTGTGTCGCCTACTTCGATGAAAAGAGTCATCCGGGAGCAACTAGATTTGTATCCTTACAGATTCCGAAAGCCACACAGCATTTCTGACAAAACGAAATATGAAAGGAAGACAACGGTCGTGCCCTCTTTGACAGCGGCACGCACCTCGTCACACTTTTCACTGACGAAAAGCTTTTCAGCGTGGAAGAAAAATTCAACCCCCAGAACACACAGATACTTGCCACTTTGAGCCAAGAAGCCGATGGAAAAGGTCGAAAGCAACAATTATCAGGATATCTACATAAAAGACATTCTAGAGAAGATACTACCATGGGCCAAAGATTACTTCAAGGACACGGTTTGGACTCTCCAAGTAGACGGCTCACAATTGAAGGAAGACTCAAGACAGGTGCCGTGAAAATGTTCCGGACTCCATTGCTGCTTCCGATTGGCCTGCAGATTCCCCCACTGCAACCCGATGGACTACTGCGCATGGTCTATTTTAGAGAGGGGAGCCTGCACTTCAAATCATGCTGGCCGCTCTCAAAGAACCACTGAAGAAAGCCTGGGATA